TTTGAGTCCTTAACCACATACCTTCATTTTTATACCAAAAGTAGAGTATGGCGAGCTGCGTCGAACGGCGCAAGGACGACGGTTCTAGCTTATACACTTTTTGAGGAAAGCTCCAATTACTGTGTCAAAATTGTCACAGCGTCACGCTTGGACAAGCCGTGTACTAGGATCGTACACGATTCCTCACACATCCCAGGCATTTTATTCTCAGAATAATACGATACAATACTTTATTAAAGTAGTTGGTTTTTTTCCTGAAGTATTCAACGAACAAACTATTTGGGAAGGTTAGTCCAAGAGACAAAAACAAAGAATTTAATTCTCTACAGTTTTAACAATTTCTAAATGTATATTCAGTGCTTTGGAATAGAATTTTCGACGATTCGGATCGTTATCCTCCGGTTTCGTTTTCAAATAAATGTCAACACAAGACAGCAAAGTATGCCTTCGACGCGTCTTCTCAAGCTCTGTACGTACGATGAAGTGGTTCGCATTTGAGCTTAAAAACATTGAATGATACAAAAAGAACTGTTAAGAGCGATCTTCGTCGTTTTTCAAAGTTTGAGTAATACCATAAATACGAAACACTGATTACTCATGCCTCCTAACTGATTACCTGTCGCCGTCGAGGACTTAACAATTTTTATCCATCGTCCTTTTTATTGGCGGTAGAAGTAGTACGAAGGAGCCCTTCTAATCGTGAATTATCTGGGTGCCATTTGGTGAGCGAAATAATTGATGTTGACATCACTGTCACCCACAAAATATCTTATTATGTATCTTAATATGTTTTTCAGGTTCGTAGGAATGTACAAAACCCTTAAAATGATTTATCAAAGACCTAGGAAACCTTTTTAAGGTTTCGTAGATTTTCTACGGAGCCTTTAAAAGGGTTTAGAAATGATTTCAATTCTCGAAACCGTTTTTAAGTTCTGTAGTGTGCACCAAACTCACTTTAAGGTCTGTATCATACTTTTTTTTTTCAGAGTACGGCTTTTAACAGTTTATAAAATATTTTTCGGTTAGCTTCTTTGACAAAAACCTATCTTTGAAGAAAAACTTTAGGGTGTTTCTCGTTCGCAGAACATCTATTTATGGTTCATTTCATTTTCTTATTGTGGCCCGTCAAAGAAGACTGTTAGATCATCTCAAGCGACTACAAAGGATTCAGGATGTAAAATTGGATATTGAGTTGATGTTCATTTAAAATGGACTCCCACGAGCTCAATGGGCTGGTCTCACATTGGGGCACATCATGTCCAAAAGTCCTTTTCTGGTTCTTTCCTTTATTGTCAATTTCATTACTCCATCTTACCGAGCGTTGGATACATTGGCAGTTTATTTTTGTCCCTTGTTCGTAGCGGTAGTGAAGGTGGAGCATTGTCGACAGGCGTCACAGGTACTTTCGGGTAGAGTGGAGGAAATTTGATGACTGCTTGCTTTGGTCAATGACTGAGCTTCTAAATACCTTTCGATAATGTGGGATAGGGTGATTCATGTTTTGTGGTGATAGGAGAACGTTTAAATTTGAGTGACGTTAGTCCTGCTCGTGCCAGAGCCGATTCCATTTTAGATCTACAAGAGCACGTGAAACATGAGGACGGTGAATGAAAATAAAAGTAGAAAAGGAAACGAGAAGACGTTTTAAAAAAGTAGGTTTTTGGCTGGGTCTGTTTTACGAAAACCATTTTTTTTCTAAGGCTAGAGTTAAGTTAAATTTTTTGAATAATATATGTACACACATCGAAGTCAGCACTATACGAACGTACAGCAACGTGGTGATGCACTTGATTATGTGTTGCTTCATGGAATAAGCAGTGATCCATTGCCAAATCCAACACTACCGTTAGCACAGTCTACCACGGTATATATAATAATATATTCTGTTGATGTCACAAAAGACTCTGCCTTGAAGTACTCTGATGTGTCAGTTCAGAAACAACAATAAAAATACCGAAAAAACTTCCTCGAAAATTTTGCAGAAATACTTTGCTTAAAATGACTACGCATTGAAAAACATTTGCTGGTTTAATAATAAGTGAACAAAAACTCCTGCCTTTCCTTTAAGAATTCCGAATCGGTCGATAACAATTGTTTACTACCAATACCATCTTTTATGTCGAATTTTCGTACATTATCAACTGCCCTATCATCGCCGTTACCCTCGTTACAATAAACAGATCATTTAACAGGCGATGAACCTCCACCACCATTTAAATACGAAGATTTGGAACCGTCATCAGTACTAGGGGTGTTAATTTAGTTTTATTTTTCATTTATAATAATGGATAAAACTAAATGAATCATTTATACTTAAAAAATAAATATAAATAAATGAAAAAAAAATTTATCTTTATTTTATAAAAGTAAATGATCCATTTATCTTTATTTTATAAAAGTAAATGATTCCTTTATTATTTCTACCTTTATTTTTAAAAGTAAAGGTAGAAATAAATAAATAAATATAAAGGAATCATTTACTTTTATAAAATAAAGATAAATTTTTTTTTCATTTATTTACATTTATTTTTTAAATATAAATGAAAAATTTATCTTTATTTTTTAAGTATAAATGATTCATTTATATTTATTTTCCAAAGTAACACTAAATTAACACCCCTAATATTAACGCGAACGAACTTACACTGTAATAGACTAACATTTTTTACTTCTTGAAAGCATTTCTCTACATTCTGTTGCATATTTTCAGCAAAAAAATACTGAAGAAACTTTAGTCTAACCCTGAAGTAGTATATTTTTTTCTTGAATAATTTTGTTTCTTAGCGTCTCTTTGTTCAAGTAACATTCATTGCCAAGGCATATGTAAGAGAAACTATATACACATACATTTAGATAAATATGAACTATTAGCAAGAAACACAACAAAAAAAGTAGAAAAAAATAATAAGGTTTTTGAATCCTAAAATTCCAAATGTAAAATGATTTGGTCTATAATTTGTTACCAAAACGGTCATGATTAAATTTTTCATTAAAATCTTTCATTGCGAAAATCATCACCGTTAATCTGATAACTTGGATTTACTATACCATCTGATGGCTGGAACGCTAATGCTGGTGGTGAATTTGCCTCAAATGTTGAATTGGTTAATCCTTTTTCGGTTGTCACCGGATATATAGTCATTGGTTGCAGTCTTTTACTTAAATGTGCATAAGGACCGATATGATCAGCATCTCTTTTCGGTCCCCAATCGTCAGCCGGTTCATTATTTCGCGTAAATGCTTCTAAATAGCGTGGTCTCTCTACGTAATTTTGACCAGTTACTAGATGATTATGCGTTCTATGATTGATTGGTGCAGACTAGAGAGATAAAATAAAGTTTAGACCTTATGTCTTCTTCAGTTTTGTTTTCTACTGCGTGACTATATTAAAAAAGTTACTACATGATTTTTGCACGAATAATATCACTTTCCAATAGTATGTATGAGAACCCGAAAAGAATCAGGACAGTATGATTTGATTCGACTTAATTTGATTAAAACGGAAGCTTTTTTCTCTTTTTTTGTTTGAATATACTCTCCACTTGAGTAAGTCTGCAATTTCTGAAACTAGAGCATTCAAATATAAATTAGAGCAAAACAAAGAAAAACATATTTTCACAAGGATTATCTTGTTCATAAAATTAGTTTTTTCGTTTATTATTTTCGATCGAATGTATTGTTCACTGTCCATGGATCAAGCTTGAGTAGCATTAGTCAGCAGCAGCCAGCGGCGCTGAATTCTCGTTCAAATGCAGCTGAGTTTCCAGGAATCGAAAGCATTGTTTCGCTACACAAGCCCAAATTTGAGAATAATTTTTGATTTTGTTACACCAATGAAGAACACAGCAAAAAGTCTTTACATTGACGAACAAAAGCATTATACTCTTCAACTATAAAGTGCATAGTTCGACAAAAGCTCAAAAATCAAATGCGGCTCGGTTTCGTTAAAGATCGCACTGAATTGAAGCTAACTAAACCGAATTATTCGATCCATTTCGGGCCCTGGTATATCCGAAATTTTACATACTAAATAAATACGTTGACTCACGTACAATTGTTTCTCTTGTTAATTTTCTATATTCTTTAATATAATTTACAATAAAAACAATTGGTATGGGAATAATGCAAATAGCAAATATAATCCAGCCAATAGCTAAATAACAAACGTTGAATAAGTTTTACCATAACACAACGTCGTCGATATAGTAGTTTTTCAAATTTTTTGAATTATTCCACTAAATATCTAGATGATAGCACACAGTGGGCAACTAAGCGAACATTGGGCCAAAAAGTCGATTTTATCTATCTTGAAATACAAATAGTGCAAAATGTAGCTCTTGAAATTCTCTATCGAATGGTGTATAAACGTCTATTGTGAAACTG